CCCCAAAACCCCAAAACCCCAAAACCCCAAAACCCCAAGTAATCGAAAGAAGGTTGGAACTACAAATATTATTTCATACTTCATGAATGTAGAATATTGGGTCCTATTTCTTTTCTCTTTATCACTACAAGCATCAGCTAGATTTCTAGAAAACGTCAGAAGTTGACGGGAGTAAGTATAGGCATGTCTAGGCTTTATAGGTGACATTTTGGAGGATAGAAAAAGCATCAAGAAATTTCTTTCTTTATCTCATGAATACTTCTTCCTCATAATTTAAGTTCTCCTCATCCAGGTGCATGAGCATACAGGTTATTTTGAATTAGTGCAAAATAGCAATTAATCAGAGTAAGAATAAGCTTGCAAAACAATGACAGTTATGCTATATGGTCGCGATTACATTCCTTAAGGAGTACTTTTATAGTGCAAGGCTTCCCATTCATGATTTTAAGTATATCTTAAGTTATCAGGTGTGGTAAAGTCTCTTTGAGAGTCTTTGCTGAGTTCTCCAAGCTTTAGAACCATCTTTGATTCATTAACCACTAAAGTTTTTAAAAATCGTTATTCATGAATTGTCAGTTTATTTATAATTTTTGAAAATACTTCATGTAAAGCATCAAACTGTACCAATCCCAGAATCTTCGACCGAGTTTGAGAGAGTGGTTCTGTAGTCTCGAGCTAAATTCTCTACTAAATTCCAAAAATAGAAGAATATATGAAAAAGTTAATTAACTTTGGGTCTCACTTGAACTACCACCTAGGTTTCAATATTATAACTTCGTTTTGAATACTTTAGGTGGTATTTTTAGTAAAAATTGATTGTCTTAATCTTGCCTGTGATGAGGACTCTTTCATTGTTTCAGTCAACGAAAAAGTTGTAAATTTCTTATTTTAATAAAATTCATCCCACATTGAATCAAAAATCTCTGAAGTTGGTGCCAGAAAATTATTTCAAACAACCCTCTGAGTCTCTCCCCTGAATTGATTGCGAATTATTGAAGTAATAGAAATTCAGACAACTCTGTTTACCATCGAAATAGCTTCGGGAGTCTACTGTTATCCAAGTTCATGAATCTCTGAAAATCTTATAAATCAGAAACTTAATTGTCGGCTATTAGAAGATGAATAGCTATTTCTAATTTTTATTAAGGAGGCACTCATTGTTTCAGAGTTGCTGAAAGCTTAACAATCTGAAATCATTGGCACTCATAAGCCTACCCTCTTGTTTGAAAAGAGAGACCTGAAGGGATATTGGAAGAGTTTGAAAATTTCACTTCAAGGAGACGAGAACATTCGAACAATTATGAATTCAGGTAAATAAAAGTGCCTATATTTATTCCATTGTTTGATAAAGTATACAATAAGTTTTTGGGCCTTTTGGGGACATATTTAGTAATTTTTAAATTAGGCATATAGTATAGATAACACAATTTGGTGAGAAAACCTTTTGCCTCCTCCCAGTTAGCCCACGAAAGAGTGAAATTCAGATAATTATTCCCCACTCTATCTGCTCTCTTCTGTCAAAGAACCACAGCAAGAGTGTAGGAGGAAGAAGACAAATTATTAAAAATTCTATTATTTATGTCAAAAATTATTCAAATTAGTATTTAAACATCAGACCAGGATGTTCCTGGGATAGGCATTAGTATAAGTCCCCAACCCCTCAGACTGGGCTCTCTAAATCTCAAAACCATGAATGAATAATGTTGATCAATGAATCACTATTTTCTAAACACCAAATTATCTTCTTCACCAGGATATTCCCTTCTTAAGCTGCAGTAAATATCAGGGAAATTGAAATCGTTTGTCAACCAATTTTGAGTGATGGATTCATGACTAAAATAAGACTCCCAGCCCAACCCCATGAAGCTATGAATGTTTGCTTTTCTATTGATGGATTCAGAGGATTGCAAAAGTTTAAGTATATGACTTCCAGACTTATGCCAAAAACTAAGAAAATTAACCTAGGTTATAAATATTAAAGGACCCACTTGCCTTGTGTTACATTCTCGAATTAAGCCCTGCATGTGAAGAAGTACATGAGGCATCTTTCCCAGATTCGTGTCTATCGGAGAGAGTGCATACGTTACTTTCTGACTTGGGTGTTCAAACTCCAGCCTCTACCGTTTCACCATTTTGGGATTCGTTGATTGATGAGTCGGTGAAATGCTTCCAAAAATATAACTTGCGTGGCAGGAATCGGTGTTGGCATGCTAATGATTAAGCACCCTAGTTGGTCATATATCGTCAACAATCTTTAAGGATCAATAGGCTTTATGAAGGAAGATTGGTCGATTGATTAAATCCTTTTTATCTTAAAAATGAATGTAGTTCTTAAAAATGTCAACATATTAAAATCCTTTCTTTTTGTGCTATAAACAAGCATAGGCTAGTGAAGAGTTTATTTACTCAATTTGCAATTCTGGCTATGAAAAAGAGTTCAGACATCATTTTGTTATTTCATTCATAAGTTGACATAGGTTAAGAAAATTAATAAGATGGCTCTTTTCTTTCCCAAATGTTAACAAGGCCAACTTGTAGCTAAAAGAGGGCAAGCATCAGAGGAGAGATTTCTTATATAAACTTCGATTAATTGGTTCCAGCCATAATGTCTAAACACTGTGAATTTTCCTAAGAAGTCAAGCACTATTTGGCTCTCAGACTAGGATATGCACTGCAAGTATCCATTAAAGTTGAGTTTAAAATTAATTAGTTCTAACATTTGGAAAAAGTCATTGGAAAATCTCTAAAAAGATTTGTCCGAATACTCAAGTTCTGCATTAATAGAAACATTGAGATCCTACTCATAGTAAACAGCCTCTTATCCCTTCGATTATAAATATCTGCAGAACATCTAGGAGTGCTCACAGGTTGGATTTGCTAATAAAACCTAAGTCTGACTGTCATACTAGTTTAGATAATTTACTAAATCTTGCATCAAATTATCAGACTTGTTTAGCACATTCCCAAGAAGACGAATTTAGATAGGCTTAGAGATAAACACAAGAGAGCTATACCGAATCTTTGTACTGTATCCACTATTAATAACTTATTACCATCTCTTCAGGAGATCACTCTCGTCTCTCTCGTTCCAAATAAAGCTATCATCCGATATGAATTTGGAACTCGGCTTTTGCTATCCAAAATAACAATATCTAAATTCAAATTGGTTAAACCTAATAAACCTCTATCCCTCAGATTTCAGAAGAACTACATAAATTATTTTGAATGCTATCGTAAGTACATTACAAAATAAAGTCACGACACAAAATGGGTAAATTTAATAAATTCAATTATAAACCGAACTTCATACATGGAGTTAGAGATACAATCATCTAAATGAGTTTTCGCAAATCTAAGGTTTCAGTCTGAACTTTTGTTTGGAGAGTCCTTGTGGTATGAAACACATGAAAAGGAAGGTAGATAACCTCAGAGGATGCTTATTGATGCATTACTAAAAGAGACCCAATGTTTCTAACTTGTTTGAATAATTTAAAAAATAATTTTTTCCAGAAACCCGATGATTAAATTCCTCAAAGATCTTATGAAAAGCTCCCAGATGCTTTCATTTCGATTGAATTTGCAATCAAATGAAGTAGATAAGGATTCAATGAAGTTTTAGGAATAATTATAATTAGATGTCTTCCCTTGTCTCCCTCCATAATTGCTCTTATATTTCTTGATGTTTAGGTTTACTCATGAGTTTTCATGTGAGCCTATAAAACAAAATGAGTTTTACACCAAATAACAAAGATAAATAATCCACTACGTAGCTCAGCCAATTGGTTAGAGTGGCATTGGAATCATAATGCTTACCTTGAGGTTGTACTTCTCAGTGTATTTTCTCTTGCAGACTCTACACTCGAATCTCTTTCTCTCGCCCAGAGTCTTCAAATGATGTTGCTTCATGTGCTTCTTGAGGTTTCCCTTCTGCGTGAACGACTTCGAGCACGAGTCGCATTGGTAAGGCTTGATGCCTTCGTGCATGCGGACGTGGTCGAGCAGATTCCAGATCTTGGTGTACTCTTTGTCACACCCTTCGTACTTTCAGATGTATACAGCAGTCTCTTTGTTAGTGACAGGAGTCTTGACCACTCTTTTCTGGTGTTTGAATGGCTTGAGGAGTTTCTCATAGATCTGAGTTTTTGAAATTCCAGGAGTGTCTTTGGTGGTGATTGATTTAATTTGTTTGTAGGTCTCGTAGTGCATCTGCTGACTTGATTGAGGTAAGGGGCTATCCTTGTTCTCTTCATTGTTTTGAGAGTTTGATTTGGTTTTAAATACTTTGTTTGAATTCTCTAATGGATAGTTAGCATTGATGTTATGAGTTTTCAAAGTTATGTGCATACCTTTTACAATTCCAGAAGTGTTTCTAACGCTAATGTACGACCTTGTGGATTGAGTTACTTCTTGCTGAGTATTTAGCCAGCCTAATACTTCATGATGTCACCAGTTAGACGTGAGATAGTTCAAGGCTTCAGGGTTTAGTTGATTTACAAGCATGGCTTGTGTGGTCATATAAGCTTCCATGATCGATTTAATATACCTGAATATAATTTTGTTATACCTCTATTTATCCTATTGCCAGGGGTTTTGGGGTTTTGGGGTTTTGGGGTTTTGGGGTTTTGGGG